ATATTAAAACCATAATAGACAATAAATTATGAAAAGAAGGGCTTGTGAATGCAAGTAATAGTGGGGGGATATAGTGACAAAGAAAATGTGGAGTAAAACTTTTTATCTCGAAATTCTACTCCTATATGTTAGAGGCTCTCTTCTTTTCTGGTTTCAACTACTTTTATTTATTTTACTTTATTTCTTTTGAGACCAGAGTCTTGCCCTGTTGCCCAGGCTGGAGTGCAGTGGCACAATCTTGGCTCACTGCAACCTCCGCCTCCTAGGTTCAAGCGATTCTCTTGTCTCAGCCTCCCAAGTAGCTGGGATTACAGGGGCCAGCCACCAACCTGGCTATTTTTTTCCCCAATTTTTAGTAGAAATGGTGTTTCATCATGTTGGCTAGGCTGGTTTCAAATTCATGACCTCAAGTGGTCCACCCACCTTGGCCTCCCAAAGTGCTAGGATTACAGCTGTGAGCCACCATGACTGGCCTTCAACTACTTTTAAACATATTATTAAAAGAGTTAAAACAAGAAATGGGCTCATTCATTCTGATATAGAAAATTTGTAATTCAATATTTAAAACATTGTCAGCATGACATTTTATGGGTGGAAGCAATGTTTTCAGACCTAAGGCCAGGAAAAGGACATGCATTTCTAGAAAGATGCAACTAAAAACTGGAAAGGCCAGAAATTATAGAGATAGAAATTAATGGAAATTTTTACTAATGACATCTTCAGTTATTTTCTCCCTTTATATTAGTAAGGCCCCAAATTTTAGATTTAATTTAGGATTGCAATACTTATGATCAAAGATATTAGTCCCCTTTCTTCTTAGCATACTTTGGTGTTTGTTTTCAAAAATAGAGTGTGATCATAAAGCTTGGAAAAAATGTATTTTATTGGTGGTCTCATAGACAATTTTCAAATTTGAAAGAAGTAAGCAAGCTTAGCTTTCTCTTTCTTAGTTTAATTGGATCTTTCCTAACAAATTAGCTTTCATTGTAAAATAAAACATTAGTTTTTAATCCCAAAAGGGAAACCTGAAATGCATTTTGTACAAGTGTGGATGCTGAATTTGACCAGTTTGTAAACCAGTAAGTGGGTAATTCAAGGTCAAAAAAAAAAACCATTCAGTTGGGGAAAAGGGTGGGGTAAGAGACTATTTAATTGTTTTTGGAGTGTACTCAATAAAAATATTTCTTTTTTTAACTCTGGAAAATGTACAGGATACTTTGTTTCTAAACTCATTGTTGGACAAATAAATAAAGATGTTTTAAAATGAACTCTTATTCTTTTTCAAGACCTAGATGGAAGTTTCCCTGCATTTGAGCAGACTTCAGTACTTATTTTCAGATGAACTTATCTGTAGGAAAGGTTTTACATATGTACCTTAACATGTTTTACCTTTTATAAAAAAGTGGATATAATGTTTTAAAATTGGCAGTTTTCTTCACTGATGGCATAGAGTATATTGTGATAGGGTTTTAAGTAGTTGGAACGCTAAATTGAGCTTACAAAGACAATGCTTCTATCAGCTCCTTTTTTTTTTCAGTTCCCTGTACATCTCAAATTCCTATATTGCTCTGCATGTGACTTTTGCCTTTTTTATTGTTTCATAATGCTATAATGGTATGGTTTCAGTCTGGTTTAGTCTGTATTGGTGGAGAGTATTAACAAAATAAAGGACAACAGTTCATAAGGGATTTGATTCTTAGCTGCGGATGGAGTGGCAAGAGAGGAAGGCAGAAATAAGTTACCTTCTATTAGAATAAACTCTTTAAAAACAGAAAACCTATTCTTATAATTCACGCAGGCTCATTATAGCCACTTTTCCTCAGGAAATAGACAGAGGGAGACCTTCCACACTACTAAATAAACAATTCTGCTGTTGAGTATTTAGACTTTTTTGGCTAATTTTAAAGACATGATGGCATGGGGCAAACAGAGCTGGCTTCCCTCTAAGGAATTTCTAGTTATTTGGAATCTTTACATCATAAGTTACAAACAATTTTTGTGTTTCTTGCTAATCATCTTAACATGTTTCAACTCAAACACTGAAAATATATAGTGCTTCTCCAATGTCAATTCCTTGGTGTAGCAAAATATTAGTCATAATTTTCTTTGACATGTAAATTATTCCAAAATAATTGTCAAAACCATGGGCTTAATGACTATACAATCTAATGTATAGTATTTTCCTTCCCTTCCTCTCCGTTTATCACAGAATGGCATTAGAATGATTTGGTTCTATCATTTTCTTGTATTAATCTTGTCCTAATTCTCAATTGCTTTTTAGTTGTGAAACATGACAAAGTGAATCAAAGACTGGATTTGTAATCTAAAAACTAGAGTTTTGATTTTGGTACTGATGGAAATAGATGCTCGATGCCACAAAGAAAAATTAGCACTGAGACAAAGGATCTTTCAGTAACACAATTTTTACTTCCTGGACTGTAGGAAGGGTACCCTACATTGTGTCATGAGAGTGCAGTGCACAAAGGAAAACACACAAATTTATCCTTTACGCACTTGGGATTGTCCTTACTGCTGTGTCTGATCAACTGAGCCAGATCTCACAATCTAAACTAAAACCCGATTGGCTAAAAACTTAAAGCTTTTCTAAACAGGTAAAAGCAATGGAGCGCTGGGACATGCCTGTGAGCATATCCAGCACAGATATCTTGGTTAAAGTACAAAGATATAGAATGTACTATGTTCCTGTGAGTATGGCATGTCTAACAGCTACATAGGATAGGGCTTAAGAAAGAGTTATTAGCACACTTACGATTCATTCTTTAACAAGAAAGAAAACTTTAAAAAGGAATTTTTCTACTTCCCACAGTACTATTATTTATTAACTGTATCATATTAACTGGGAAAATAATTTACATGAGCCTCAGTTTCATTCCTTGTGAAATGTGAATTGTGACATTTGTGCATATGGTAATGGTGGTAATTGAAGAAGAGGACAGATGAATATAAATGACTATGAATTTTGTATGTTTTACACATATATGTATTATTATTATTTAAAAACAAGGCATCTTCTGCAAGAGAAATTTAGGATTCCACTGAACTCAAGGTTATACTTTTAAGTTTATCCAAATATTTTTGTAATTCTCAACTGCCTTTTCCCCATCATGCACCAACATGGGTTTTACCTCTTTTAAAAAAATGCATGTTCCCCTTGCAGTAGTCTATTACTTTATGCCAAGCAGTCTAAATAGTGCATATTCATTTAATGGGATTTTTAAATAAAAGAATTATTTAAGTCAATAGTACAGACTCAGAAATAGTAACTGGTATTATGAAGAATTGGGCACTCTATACCGCCATCTAGTGCCCATACTCTTAGGGTGCCAGTAACTTGAGGACTCCACCCACCTTGAAACGTTATAAGGAAAAACTACTATTTATAGAAATGAGTTTTTCACACATGATGCACATGTATTGTCCAAAATGCAAATCTGCCTATGTCACTTTTCTACTTGAAAACATCTCTTTTTGCCTAAGGTTAAACCCAAACACTTTACCATGGCATATATTGACCCTAAATATTTAGTCATGATCTATTTTGTCAGTCTTATTTTCACTCTTTCCATACTTTATACCTCACATTTCAGCTTTACTGAAGGTTTTACCTTTTTCACTAACCACACCATGTACTTCCATGTCTGTGAGTACATAATGCTTCTTCTGCCTGAAATATTATTCTGTTCCCTTACTGTCTGGTGAAATCCTGTTAATCTTTTAAAGCCCAGCTGAAATATCACCTCCTCAGTGAAGTCTTCCTTGATTCTCCTGGGAAAGTTAAATGCCATTCCAGTGTGCTCCCAGAGCACAGGCTTCTAGAATATGATCTTAAACTTTGAAAATGATTATTTTTGGGTGTCTGCTTACCCTGACATATTATAAGGATAGGCTTTGTCTTACTGTCTCTTTTTGTATGCCACTTTGCAGTCTTTGGCACATACCAGGCTCTGAATAAATGTTTGTTGAATGAATGAAAGTGATTCCATCCATCAGTGAGCCATTCAGCATTTTATAAAGTTGCTATCACTTGAAATAAAAAATTATATATATAACTTTATTATTATTTTTAATTGACAAATGAAATTGTGTATATTTATGGTGAGCAAAGTGATGTTTTAACATATGTATACCCATTGCGAAATAATAAATCAAGCTAATTAACATATCTATCATCTCATATACTTATCATTTGTGTGTGTGTGTGTGTGTGTGTGTGTGTGTGTGTGTGTGGTGATAACATTTAAAATCTACTCTCAGCAATTTTCAGGTGTGTAGTGCATTATTTATTACTAACTATATGTTATCATGCTGTAAAATAGATTGCCATAATTTGTTTCTCTTGTCTAACTGAAATTTTATACCCTTTGACCTACATATCCTTATTCTCCCCACCCCCACAAGTCCCAACCTTTGGTTACCTCTATTCAAAAAATAACTTTTGAAAAGCAATATCTAGTGCATAAACTGCCTCTTAAATTGGGAAAATGAACAACTTTTTAATACTTTGCTAATAAAAATCAGACAATTGTAGGTTGATAACTGCAGATTCCATGCCACATCAAAAAATATCCACTCAGCCTTATTAAATATTTTAATTCCGAGCTTTGACAATAATTATAGAGCCATATTATAAAACTGCTTTTAAAGGTAATCTGGGCCAACTCCTCATTTTTTGCATAAACACCTCCAGTCTCTTAATATTTCAAGCAACACATCATCTGTGAGCAATTCTGATGTTAAGAAATTTTTATTTACTTTGAGTTGAAACCTGTATCTAGTAATTTCAACCCATTATTTTATTAATAGTATATCCCTTGGGAACATACAGAATAATTTCATTTGAAGTTTTCAAACATATGAAACGTTTTCTATCCTGCTCGTTTTCTTAATCGCATAGTCGACATGTAATACCCTTGATTCTTTCTGCCATTCCAAGTATGTGATGACTCTAGTCTTTCACCCTTCCTTTTTCCCCTTCTTAGAATATTATTACGCTTCTGGGTCATCTGTATGACAGTACTGATCATGACATCTGACTATTGCTGATGACAGTGGGAAGATCATCTCCCTCATTCTGGATACTGTTATTCTGCCAGGTCAGTTTAAGATTTAATTGGATTTTTTCAGTGCCCATATCACATGGTTGACTCGTATTTGACCTTACTGGAGATGCTATCTCTTCTTATCCAAGGATAAAGTAACAGGTCATTGAGATATTATCTAGTTATGATGTCAGAGAAGGCAGTGATCTCCAGTAAAGGGAGCGGGTGCAAAAAATAATGATATAAGTGTAAAAAATTGCATAACTCAGATATAATACGATGGCTAAAAGGTGGTGAAAATATTATTTTAAGATGTTAAATCTTTAGACATTACCACTTTCGTACTGCAGATGTGTTAAGCAAATGTTGATAGTAGTATAGCATTTAGAATTATAATATCATTAAAGTTTTAATAATTTTAATATTTCCTTTGAATATAATAATGTTAATAGTTTCCCAAAAACATATTTTTTAAAATTGATGATTTCTGGATGCACTGTTAATATTTAGGGACAAACTCATTTAGGGAAAATGTAGCTTTGGTTTTATAATAAAAATTCAAGGAAAAATATATTCAGGAAACTTCACTGGGTTGAGTTTAATCCATTCAACAAATATTGTATGTTATTTTCATTGGTTATTTTTTGAGTATTTAGTAATTTACTGCATAAATGTATGAGGTATGTTTATCAATGTACTAATTGTATTTAAAGCTATTTATTTGTGATTTTTATTCTTTCTAGTTAGATTATAAACCCTGTATGGCCAAGTCAGTTGTCATCTTGTTTTGTATTTGCTGGTATAGTGTTCTGTGATGTTATTATACATACGAAGGGGCAGGCTTTCTTACTGAAAATTGTTAATTGGGTTTGTGAGTATCTTCAAAATGAAGGGTGTGTAGCACTTGCCTTGTTCATAACAAATGTATTTTGGATTAACTAGTGTGTACTGGTTAACCCACCTTAGAGCTAACATAGATTTTCCCTGAAAGTCTTTGACCCTGTGACATGTATCATCATGAATAGGCTTGAGATTGGAAGTTTAACCTGGAAAAGCTGTTATTTCTTTAAATACGTGTGACTATAACTTTTTAACGTGTGACAATGTAGGAGGTGGCATCACCTGATGAAACTTCATTGTTTGAATAGCTAGGTTTCCTATTGTAAGGATAATGGAATTAATCTTTTAATGATGTCTTAGACTTCATTTGTGGTATTTGAAATTAAAATGTAATTCTCTGTGCTAAAACCACAAGGAATAAATGTTTTCTAGCATATCTATTTATTAAAAAATAATACTTAAGGCAAGAATTAAAGGAATAGCAACATATAGGTACAATTATGTTTTGTGATTTTTGTGCTCATCTTCACCTATTAAACCACTTTCCTCCCACCAGATTAATTTCTTCAATGTATTTATACTTCTATTTATAGACTACTAACTTGTTTAAAGCTCCAGTTGTGCTTTTGAACATTTTAGCTTCAGATATTCTTGAAAAAGGATTTTTATTCTAAATGACCAACTATGTCCCAGTTTTGAAAGTCCAAATTATCTACTTAAAAAATCCTTTACTTTGGGTGGATAAAAAATCCTTACTTTGTGTGGGATTACATGGTGGCTCACACCTGTAATCCCACTACTTTGGGAGACCGAGGCTGGTGGGTCATTTGAGGTCAGGAGTTCAAGACTAGCCTGGCCAATGCAGTGAAACCCAGCCTCTACTAAAAATACAAAAAAACTAGTTGGACATGGTGGCACATGCCTGTAATCCCAGTTGCTCAGGAGGCTGAGGCAGGAGAATCACTTGAACCTGGGAGATGGAGGTTGCAGTGAGTCGAGATCGCACCACTGCGCTCCAGCTTGTGTGACAGAGTGAGACTGTCTCACACACACAAACACACACACACACAAATTCCTTTATTTTGATTAAATTAATGTGGATTTAACACTTTACTGTGCTTGTTGCTTTGGTCAGTTTTCGTAATCTCACAATCTTTGTTTCTGAAATAGGTGGACTTTATCAGGGTTAAGCAAAATGATTATGATATTTAATGAAGAATGCTGAAGGTTATCCTCATTGTTAGGGAAAGCTCAATAAATATGATAATATTAATTATCATAAATATATTATTATTTAATATTTCTCTGTCATTCATTTGAATCAGCAAATCATTCTTCTGTATCTTAAAGACTGTCCTGAATGTAACTCCAGTTTCATTGTACGCTTCCTTTGTGATGACACTGAATTTTATTTAGAATGCTTTCTGCTAATGCTAGGGGGAATGCTCTTGGTTTACTTTGTGAACATTCATCATCAGTTCTATATGGGTTAGAGTTCCTGCAGATATTTCTTTTTCTCAGTCTCAGGGCCAAATTAGAAAAAAAAAAAAAAAAAGTTAGGGCTATCTCTTCAAGCCCAGTGATTACCAGGGAGAGTTCCCTACATATATTTTTGGGAGTGGGACAAGTCACATAAAAAGTCACACAAAGCTTTTCTCCCATTTTTTTCAACTTTTTATTATAGTAAAATACACATAACATAAAATCCACCACCTTATTCAATTTTAACTGTACAGTTTGGTGGCATTAAAGACATTTTTATTATTGTGAAACCATTATCACCAACCATCTCCAGAATTATCTTCATCTTGCAAAGTTAAAGCCTATATCCATTAAAGAATAACTCCTCATTTTCTCCTCCCCATCACCAACGTGGCAACCACCATTGTACAGTCTGTATCAATGATTTTGATTTTCCTAAGAACCTCATATAAATTGGATCATACAGTAATTGTCTTTTTGTGTTTGGCTTTATTTCATTTAGCATGGTATCCTAAAAGTTCACTCATGTTGAACTTTTTCAACATGAAAAAAGTTGAAAAAGCATATGTCACAATTTTCTTACTTTTTAACACTGAATAATATTCCATTGTGTATATATATCATAATTTGTGTATCAATTTATCCATTTAATAGACACTTGGATTGCTTCTACATTTTAGTAATTGTCAATATGGGTGTTGTGAATATGGCTGCTATGACCATAAGTGCACAAATATCTCTTCAAGATGCTGTTGTTAATTTTTTTGAATATATACACAGCGATAGAATTGCTCTGTCATATGGTAGTTCTATTTTTAACATTTTGAGAAACTATCATGCTATTGTTCACATTTTTATCAAAGGTATAAAATGGTTCTAACTTCTCTACATCTTCACTAAAACTTGTTTTGTGTTTTTTTTTATAATAGCAATTCTAATTGGTGTGACATTCCATTTCACTGTAGCTTTGATTTGCATTTCCCAAATGATTAGTCATGTCAAACCTCTTTTCATGTGCTTGCTAGCCATTTGTATATATTTCTTTGAGATATGTCTATTCAAGTTCTTTGCACAGTTTTGAATCAGGTTATTTTGTTGTTGTCGTGTTTTTAGGGGTTCTCTGTATATTTTGGATATTAACCCCTTATCCAATATAAGACTTGCAAATATATTCCCTCATTCAGTGGTTTGCTTTTCACTCTGCTGATGACTTTTTATGCAAATTTAATTTTTAATTTTTGTGAAATCTAGTTTGTCTTTTTTGTTGTCATTGCCTGTGACAAAATGGTAAAATCCAAATTTTACCAAATCCAAATTTTACCAAATCCAAAATTGCCAAATTAATACCATGAAGCTTTTGCCTCATGTTTTCTTCTAAGAGATTTATAGTTTTAGAACTTATATTTAAAGCTTATATTTAGATTATATGAATCCATTTTGATTTAATCTTATATATGGTATCAGGTAAGGATTGAAGTTTATTCTTTTGCATGTGGATACCCACCTTGCCCAATCACTATTTGTTGAAAAGACTGTCTATTCTCCATTGAATAACTTTACAAGAATCATTTAGGGCTGGGCACGATGGCTCAAGCCTATAATCCCAGCACTTTGGGAGGCTGAGGTGGTGGATCACGAGGTCAAGAGATTGAGACCATGGTGGTCAACATGGTGAAACCCCATCTCTACAAAAAATACAAAAAATTAGCTGGGCATGGTGGTGTGTGCCTGTAATCCCAGCTACTCAGGAGGCTGAGGCAGGAGAATTGCCTGAACCCAGGAAGCAGAGGTTGTGGTGAGCCGAGATCATGCCATTGCACTCCAGCCTGGGTAACAAGAGCGAAACGCCGTCTCAAAAAAAAAAAAAAAAAGAATCATTTAATCACATGGGTGAGTGTTTATTTCTGGACTCTATTTTATTTCTTTGTCTTTACTCCAATACCATGCTGTTTTGATTACCATAGCTTTGTAGTAAGTTTTGAAACCAGGAAGTTTGAGTCCTCGAGCTTTGTTATTCATTTTTAGGTTTGTTTTGGGTGTTTGGGGTCCTCTTATATTTCACGTGAATTTTGGAATGAGTTTTTCTGTTTCTGCAAAAACATTATTGAGATTTTTATAGGGAATATATTATATCTTACTTTGGACAGAATTGACATCTCGACAGTGTTAAGGCTTCCAGTTCATGAATATAATTCTTTCCATTTATAGCTTCTTTAATTTCTTTCATAAATGTTTTATAGATTGTCTTTTTCTTTGTAGTTTCATTATGGTAGATTTTGTTTTTCTAGGAATTTCTCCATTTTGACTAGGTTATCCAATTTGTTGACCTAGAAGTTGCTCATAGTATTCTCTTATAATCATTTTTATTTCTGTCGAATAGTAATAGTGTTTCCTCTCTTATTTCTGATATTTGTAATTTGAGTGTTCTCTTTTTTTCTTAATATATATGTATACCCCTACATATATATGTTTTTTCTTAGTATATGTATCCAAAGGTTTGTCAATCTTGTTAATATTTTTGAAGAACCAACTTTTGGTTTTATTGGTTTTATCTAAAGTTTCTATTCTATATTTTATTTATCTGCTCCAATATGTATTATTTATTTCCTTCTTCTAACTTTGGGTTTAGTTTGTTTGTTTTCTAGCTCCTTACGTTGTAAAGTTAGGGTGCTGATTTTAGATCTTTTTTGTTTTTTAATGTAAGCATTTATGATTACAAACATTTTCCTTAG